CACTGATCATTTATTGAACATTATGTAATAATTACAGACTTAAAGAACTTTCAGAAGTTTGGATTCTGAATATGAGCGACTTTTCCTTTAAATAAAAACCTGATTTATGGCCATTTCAGTCAGAATTTGTCGCCTCTCAGCCTCTCGGTTTCTTCTCCAAGTCTGAGAAATAAACCTGTCATTTCCTGTCAGCAGGTGGTGCTGATGGGACTCTGTTAATTTCTCCGTAGCAGACGGGGAATGTTTTATACCTGAATATTATTTCTGTGAGAAACCATTGTGCTTAAATGTGTTATTCTGATTCCAGATGTGCTGTTTTTGTAGCTTCTGCTTGGTAGAAAACGAGAGATTAAAGCAAACCAGCCGCGTGTTTAACAGAATAATTAAGCTGCTGATTGTTTCCAATCTTTTCATGTCCGTTTTCATTTCAAACAATAAAACAGTCAAACTAATCTGCTCTAATCTGACAGGAGGAAGACTGACTGTAGTGAAGGTCTGGAATCATGATCAATAATTGAAGAATTAATGTTTTCCAACGGTTGTTACTGAAATATCATCACATTAAACTCGCTTTAAAGTGTTTTTATTTGAGTAAAACAGTTTTTTTCTGGTGGTTCTGCATGTCTTTCCTCTCTCCACATGTTGTGTTTCTCTGTTTTACCTTTTCCTTCAGACTGAAACAGCTCTGCTGAGGCTGAGCACTGCCTCCCAGCTGGGAGCGAATCCCCATCGATCACCAGCGATTTTCAGTTCTACACTGAGAACCAGGAAAGGTGAAACTTCAGAGAAGAGACGCCGTTCATCATCTGGTCTACAGCTAGTATGGCTAACACTCTGAGAACCCAGCAGAAACCCAAACATCTGAGCCCATCACTGCTTATTACCTCCACCAGGGAGGTTATGCTTTTAGGAGTTTTTCTGTCTGTGTTACAGGATGAATTAGAAAGTTAAGCTGGGAAAACACTGTGTGATATTTTCGATTGTTGCACGCAGCTACAGCTCAAACTATGAAATCACAGGTTTTTAAAGCGGGCATCCTCAAAGGGGGCCTGGAGGGCCGCTGTCCTGCAGGTTTTGGATGTTTCCTGTTTCAGCAGCTGATTTCCATTCATACCTGATTTACAGGCTATTGCTGAACTGCAATCATCAGAATCAGCTGTGCTAAAGCAGAGAAACCTCTAAATCCTGCAGGACAGCGGCCCCCCAGGACCCACCGCATTGAACTTAGTTCACAGCTAACCAGTGTTGGGCACGTTACTCTGAAAAGGTAATTAGTTATAGTTACTAGTTACTTCTCC